TGTAGGGAAAGAGAAGAGCAGAATATGTTCTTGTGGGTAGGTTGGTGGACAAAGACAGTCCAACCACCAGTACTGCTAAGAACTATTTCAAATATTGTTTTGTGCCAATCTTCAACATCGCACAAACACATGTCTACCCCCCTGCCCCCCCTCTACAGAAACAACGATGACCAATCAAGAATATTACTCTAGTCAACAAATGCCCCTGGAGACCTAACGATCTTTGTACTAGGGCTGTACCGAATATTCGCTTCGGGGCCGAATAGTGGACCTAATAACTATTCGGTATTCGGCCGAATAGTTGGGGTCGAGTGGTTACCTTACTCCCGTTTCTGCATACACTGTGATGGACTGAAATAACTCTCTTATTAACACAATAGTTGATGTTGCCTAAGTCTGTCGTAGCAGGGGAAACTGCGACCCGGTTTCGTGGTACAAACTGCATAAAATGCCAACCGCAGTGTGTGTGCGTGTGTGAGTGTCTGTGTGTGTGAGAAGGAGAGCGAGAGATCATGCATTTTTCGTTCTTTCAGGGTGTCTTCGCCCAAATTAAATTTAAAGATATTGCTAACGAGAATATGAAGGTGCGTTTAAATTACATTCGAACGGCCGAGCGAGCGATGGTTTTGAAAAAGGGCGGGAGCCCGAAAACAACTAATCACAGTCGTCATTTTTCAGCCATGTTATGAGAAGAGGGAAAATGGAACATTTAGTGACCACTGGAAAGATCTGTGGGAGGAGGGATAGAGGAAGACAACGATAGAAGATTCTTGAGTCTTGCTGCATGGCATGGAGGTGTGTTAGCACACAAACTTCTTCTTCTTTCGTTCGCATGAAATAAATTGTCTATATCTGCAAAGCCGTCTCTAGTATGAATTTCACTGTCTTTTGTAATTCACTAAGCGGCCCGTAAAGTTTGACCTCCACAAGTGTCTCTTTTGGCCAAAGGTTTTGCCTGAAAGTGTTGAATCTGGGACAGTCTTGAAGGATGTGATCTGTTGTTTCGGGTGCCAGTCCACAAGTACACATGGCTGATTGGCCAATCTTAAATTTGTTGTACATGTGGGAGCGAAGTCGATTGTGCCCTGTTCTAAGGCGAAGGATAATGACTTGCTCTGGTCTGTCCATAATATGGTAATCATCTTGTGCCAGTTTCGGTGGCATTCTGATTGATTTGATCATTCTCTTCTTCTGTTGATAAGAGACTGGTATGTCAGGTTGTTCTTCAGTTGCACCTTCCTTAGCTAGTTTATCAGCTCTTTCGTTTCCAGGAACTCCACAGTGGGAAGGTATCCACTGCATTACTAATTTACAGCGGTTGCCTAGTTCGGATAATAATGTCCGTATGCTTGGTAATTTTCCAGACTGGAGTGACTGAAGTACTGCTTTTGCATCTGTCAGGAATACCACTGGTTGTGAAAAATACCCTGTATTTAGTAGTTTCTCTACCGCTATCTTGATGGCTTGAACTTCTGCATCATAGTTGTGACAGTGCTTTCCCGTTGGTAATTTGGCTGTATCCCTGGTATTATTAGGATACTCAATGTACACTCCTGCACCTCCGTTTCTGACTGCGCTTTCTGCTGACCCATCTGTGTAAACACGGACCCAAAGGTTCTGTGGGTATTCAGCACACAAACTGCAGAAGATAGTAGATTGTGGAGAGGCATAATCACCCACGCCAATCGGCAAGGCACCTGATGATGATGATACACTATTCGTATTCGGCCGAATAGTGATTTACCGAATCACTATTCGGTACAGCCCTACTTTGTACAGTTAAAATGTGTCTTAAAACTTTGTAACTCATGAACCGGTTATTAGTCAATAATATATCCTAAAATGATTTGGGCTTCAGAGTTGACATGATCTAAAATAGGTACCAGGGGAAATCTTGGGAAGTAAAGGTGGCTGGCATGATGTTGATCACAATACCCGTCGAGTGCCGATTGGTCTATAAAATACAGGGCTTGCATTTATATACTTAATATGCCTAAGTCAACAAATTTCTGGTTGTTCGTCCACTTCTGAACCTTGGTCTTGTTCCAAACTTCAGTTTTGCTTGCATATCTACTTTACAGATATGGCTTACTTACATAGAAACTGTTGGTTTCTTGCCTCTCAGGTAGACACACTCCTTCAAGGGAAACACCCCTGAGTCAACTTTAAAGACACGCTTAGCCCGGCTCTCTAGCGTAGTTGGCTAAACCTGACTTCGCAGTGTTCAGGTGACGAACTCCTTGTGGTCCGGGTTCACACTCGGGGGTAGGCAGAAAAGCCACATTTCTCCCAGATTTAAGGTACCTATCATGGAATCAAGGCCAAAGGGTTGCGATATCCATAGTACCGAGCCAAGGGTTAACAACTCATGGTTTCTGGATATTTAAAAAAAAAAGACATGCTTGTAAGGGGGCTGTTGATGTACTCTATTTCTTCCTGAAATGGGGCATCAGAACCCACACAGGGATGATGATACATGAGACAAAAAGCTGCTGACAAACATGATAACACCACATGGATGGAGGAGTTGGTCTCCATGGAAAAGTGGTCAGGACTTTTCCTTTCCCTCTGAAGCCTGTCTATTATTTTCCGAGTGAACTGCTACTGATGGTTTGACCACCCGAGAAACATCCAAGACTTAACTTGGATGACAAATCCGATGCCCATCTCCACTTTCTCAATACGCTCTGTGAGTCAGTTACAATTACGACACGTGAGTACAGCTGGTTTTCTCAAGCGATTGGTGGCTGCAGTGAGTTTCCTTCGTTCTCAAACTACTAGAGTGGTATGAAATACCAGACTCTGTTGAATATTAAGCGATGTATTTTCTATAAAGAAGTGTGGTACTTGTAATGCTACAACAAACAGTCTACAATCATGTGCCGGTAAAGTATTACTACAAGAAATGAAAAATGAACCCCCCAAAAAGACGTGACAGGGTCACTAAGCGCCATCTGGCTAGCCAAGGTAAACACAGCCCAATGCCCGGATGTTACTGCAGCAGTGCAGGGTAGGGCACAGCGACTCCTTGTCCTTTATAAAAAAAAATTGTCATGGATTTCTCCGAAATTAAACACACCGAATACACTACTAGTGACATATCACTGATCTAAACCCACCCAAGACGCAGCAGAGACATCTCGACAACATGATTTGAAGAAAACAGCTGGGAGATGTCTTGGCTGGGTAGCCGGTCTGTGTTAAGTTTTGTTTTTCCAGTGCGCACGTTTGAAGTGCAGATGGACGACATGTTTGTAGGTCATGTGGCAGTGGACCAATCAGCGACGAGATAAGTAGGAGGTAGAGTTGTTGTTCCCTTTATGGTTCTCTTACTCTGGCAGACCCTTTAGATTCGAACTTGTTGAACCGTTTACTTCATAAATTTCTTGGGGAAAATTCTACAAGCTTGGTGGTTGAATAGTTGAAGTGTATATCTCCAGAACTGATGGTAGGTATTGGTTTTTAATTAAGTGTTTATTTGATTGCTTCGTGCCGTTTGAGGACACGACGTGCAGCAGTCATCGTCTGCCACCAGTTTTTCTTTCGATGCATTGAATGATCCGTTTCGTTTGTTGGTTGTGATTTAAGTTAAATTGCTAGCCTTTTTTATATTTACTGTTCGTATTTGGGTACTATAACTACAGGAGATGGGTCTGTGATTGTTGGGGTTTCCTGACTTGTTTGATATTCCCGCTGAACGTTTTCACGCGATGTCAAAGTGAGGTTAGTACCGTTAGACCCAGTCGAATCCGCTGACAACGCTGCCTGTCGTCCTTACTTCACTGACTACGGCCAGTACCATGGAGAAACAGCTGCATGATGGTGTTACTGCTCCACCTCAACCACCGAAGGAGAAGAGTGTTAACATTGTTAAACCAGTAATAGATTTTAAGGTCAGCTAATTTTTATTGTTCATCAGTGTAATGATGTCAAGGGTGGCTTAAAACGGCACTGCAGTTGTCGTCCATTTTATGATCCAAATCATTCTGGGGAAGCTGCGTCTTAACTTGACATGTAACTTGTAAGATTTAAGAAGTGTAGCTGTTCTTTTTATTGAGAGATACAAAGCAGTAATGACCGTATAACTAAAACTTTACTAATTTATATATGACCACGGAACATGTTGGGAAATGTGCACTACCTGTCAGCACAGGCAGTAGTATGGAATCCTGATTTAGAAGTGAAAGTGTCCTCTCATGTCTTTGAGATTTAAAGTAAAGTAAAAATTAACTTCATCATATCGCAACACAAATTTCACACCCTTTTATCTGTGCATAGATTGGCAACAATACACATCATAGAATAGTCCATATAATTTGCTGGAAATTGTCTGAGATCAGGATAAAAGCTGCTCACTATGTGCACAGGATACAGTAATTTTGCTTGTAGTTAGGTCGTGTGAGAATTAAAGTTGTTAAAGATATTTGCAATTCTCGTCTGTTCAACACGCACGTGCATAAAATAAAGACTACAGGCCATGGTCCCCAGTATGCATGTTAGACGGAGCCACAAACACCTGAGCACATTCTGCAGGCCTGGGCACTATACTCACACCTACGAAGAGAAACCTGGTCTCAAGAGCTAAGTGTGCAGAGCAACCCACGGGGGACCATCAGTTGACATATAAACTATAAAGTCATAGAGACGGCCCACCTTAGCATACACAACTGAAGACCACGAAAAATAATTTCTGTCCTATATATCTTCATTTCTTTAGTATATTTTGTACTGGACCTAATACTGATCTAACTCATCAAGGAGGGCGATCATTATACAGTAAAATACATATTTGCTTCTGTGAAGTATGTGGTTAATACAGTTTGTGCTTAACATGATCTGAAAGTCATGTCTCTCTCTCTTTCTTTGTGACTTTTGAAAAATAAACCTCTGCCCCCCCCCCCCCCCCCCACTATCCTCTCGCTCTCTTTCTCTCTCTCTCTCTCTCTCTTTCAAGTAAATGGACTAAATTGTGTAACTGTTGTCTTCTTGGTATTTTACAGTCCCAACCAGGATTTGGGCCTCCTTCACTGCCTGTGGGCACAGAAGTGAGTGCAAAGTACAGAGGAGCTTTCTGTGAAGCTAAAGTCAAAACAGTAGTGAGAGTTGTCAAATGCAAGGTCAGAAAAGTCATCACAAAGTGATACATTTCCTTTTTTGTTTCACCATGCTTTCCATACCTGTACATCATTATTAATATAATATATTTTGTGTATGTATTTGCAAATTTCATAATTTTTGAAAACGATTAAGTAGTGACGACACTGGCTAGATGTGTGACTGTCTGCCTGAAGATCTGACATTTGAAGCCGCTCTGGGCTTATTTTCTTCTTCTCGCTCACCGGCTGTAAACTTGAGCAGTAAGCCATGGTTGTTCGTCCACTCCTGGACTTTGTGTTCAAGAACTTGTGTTGCATGCACATCCATTTTACAAATCTGGCTTATTTGTATGCAGACTGTTAATTTCTTGCCTCTCAGGCAAGACCCCGACAATGTTAAGAAAAGAATGTTAAATTAAGAATCATCATCACAGCACACGGGGCACCCCCATAAGCGCTCTGTCCCCATCTCCAGCAGCAAGCGAAGAGTTGAAATTTTCATGGTACAAGTAGTGGTCTTTCTTCTTCTTTCGTCCGCATGAAATAAATTATCTATATCTGCAAATGCTGTCTCTAGTATGAATTTCACTGTCTTTTGTAATTCACTCAGCGGTACATAAAGTTTGACTTCTACAAGTGTCTCTTTTGGCCAGAAGTTTTGCCTGGAAGCTTTGAATCTGGAACAGTCTTAGAGGACGTGATATGTTGTCTCAGGTGCCAGTCCACAGGTACACATGGCTGATTCGCCAATCTTAAATTTGTTGTACATGTGGCAGCGAAGTCGATTGTGCCCTGTTCTAAGGTGAAGGATAATGACTTGCTCTGGTCTGTCCATAATATGGTAATCGTCTTGTGCCAGTTTCGGTGGCATTCTGATTTATTTGATCGTTCTCTTCTTCTGTTAAGAGACTGGTATGTCAGGTTGTTCTTCAGTTGCACCTTTCTTAGCTAGCTTATCAGCTCTTTCGTTTCCGGGAACTCCACAATGGAAAGGTATCCACTGCATTACTAAATTACAATGGTTGCCTAATTCGGATAATAGTGTCCATATGCTTGGTAATTTTCCAGACTGGAATGCCTGAAGTACCGCTTTTGCATCTGTCAGGAATACCACTGGTTGTGAAAAATACCCTGTATTTAGTAGTTTCTCTACCGCTATCTTGATGGCTTGAACTTCTGCATCATAGTTAGGACAGTGTTTTCCAGTTGGTATTTTGGCTGTATCCCTGGTATTATTAGGATACTCAATGTACACTCCTGCACCTCCGTTTCTGACTGCACTTTCTGCTGACCCATCTGTGTAAACACAGACCCAAAGATTCTGCGGGTATTCATCATCAAGTAGAGTGAGGGTGGCTGTTTTATGCTGCAAACTGTTTTGTTCTTTTTTGTCAAATACTCCTTTCATTTCTGTCTTGATGTGTATTGGAAACATACTCCTCTCTCCAGGGGGTCCGTTCTGGGACAGTATTTAAGTTGCTATCAGTTGCAGGCAGATCAGTGGTTTGTCTGCAGAGCCGTTTGGCTTGGTGGATGAAGCTACTTCTCTTTAGTTGTCCCAAAGCTAGATTTTTTAATCTTTCATTCATAGGGTGACTAAGCATACTAAGAAACTTTTCTGCTTGTATAAGCATCTTGGTGTCTGCGTTCACTCAGTGCTTGGGTCATCACTAATTTCTCCATCACAGCTATAGGTGTTGATTTCATACTGCCTGTGGTAACTCTGAGTGCTTGATTTTGCACTTTGTCTAATTCTTGCAGTGTGGTTTTTGATGCCAAACTCCATGCTGTTGATCCGTATTCAAGGTGTGGTCGAACACTTTGCTGGTAAACTTTTCTAAGTATTTTCCCGCTAGCACCCCATGTGGTTCCACTTAGTTTTCTCAGAATGGCTACCCTCCTTCTAGCTTTGGTTGCTGCCTTGTTGATGTGTTTTCCCCATGTTAACCTATCATCAAACATTACTCCGAGGTATTTGGGCTCCTTATCCTCTCTCAGGGGTACTCCATTTATGTGCACGACGCCTGATTTTTGTTTTGGAGAGAGGGTGAAGAGGATGGTGTTGCATTTGCCTATGTTGATGCTGACACACCATTTGTCGGCCCATTCAGCCATTACATCTATGGCTCTTTGTAGCAGTCTGGTGGCCGCTGTTGCATGTTCATTTGTACACCAGAGTACCAAGTCATCAGCATATATTGCAGCTTTAATTCCATGGGGTAGTTCAGAAAGCAGGTCATTGATATAGACTAGAAAGAGTGTGGGGGGCAGGACACCTCCTTGTGGGACGCCATGGTGCAGCAACACTTTCTTACTCTTTAGTCCATCTATTTGTACTCTGGCTCTTCTATTATACAAGTATGCTTTCACCTATTTGTACATACTTCCATTCACCGTACAGTCTCTCAGTTTCTTCAGTAGACTTTTTTTCCCAGACCTTGTCAAAGGCTTTCTTCAGATCTATCCATGCCGTTAGCACTAGCTTCTTTTCCTGAAAGGCATCCTCAATTTCTTGCGGTCTTATTGTATATCCATCTCGCCTTTCCCCTAGGTGTCAAGTGTTGGCCAGATCCCCTTGTAACTGCTTGCAGTGCCATTCTCCTCGGATCGTAATGATCTATCTGTTCCTAGACACTGTTCACTCACTCCCAAAGGGCCCTCACAACATCCAGCTTGTCATACATCAGTTCACCACTAAGTGGTGCAGAACCAGCCAGTCTATCTGCCTGCTTATTTCCCAACAAACAGTTGTGATTTTATATTAAGAAAAGAATCACTATATACACATTTCTTTTAAATGCATATTCCTAGTGTATGCGTAATATACAAAATATGCATTTTTTTTCTGATAGGTGGTGATGAAAGATTGCCAGACAAGCATTTTTGTTACTGATGAAGAAATCAAGGGTTCAGTGAAAGTTTGTAACATTTAATTTTCTTTTATTATGGTTGCAAGAGCACTCAAATGTGCTTACTTTTTTCAGTTATAATCTTGTCACTGCTGCTTTGTTTTTAATGTTATTGTCGTTTTCTTTTGTATAAAAAAAATGTCCTTTAAATATAACATTTCATCCTCCTTTTGTGATGTGTAAAATTTGTATTTCTTGACTCGTAATACCTTTTTAGGCTTCTTTTTTATTTTTTTTAGTGTATTCTTTTTCTTCAGTAGCCTTTATGAGTGGCATTTGGAATCCTTTATTGTGGTTTACACCGCGCCATTCTGCCCATCTTCAACAAACCCTTAATTAGTCCCCTTTATGACAGGAAGTGTCACATATCACTCCTGTCGCGTGCCTAATGTAAGGATTTCTCCTTCAGAACCAACAGCACTCAGAGATAATTATGTTGAGTCGTTTGGCTCGTATTGGTCTAAGGGATTCCCCGTGGCCAATATACGATCAACTTATCTCTGGAGTAGGGCAACTCAAGTATTGGCACTACAAAATATGTCAGTATATATATATATAATATTTCTAGGCACACTTGGCTGGACACCCCCACTACTTACTAAAGAAAGCCCCCAGGTTATGATAGTTCATTATCATAACCATGTTAACACATATAATGAAGATACATATACATACACAACTGCTAAACACTTAAAAAGGTGAAATAGAGACACCTAAGTCAGCCATGAAAATGAATGTATGTAATCAATATAAATTAGATATATAAAAGTGAGACAAATGCCAGATCTCAGGATATCATGTCCAAATCACAAAGATACTACACAGACAGAAGGTCTTGGAGATGACATCTTCTCATCACTGGACACAAGGAGCTGTGAGGAACACAACATCATGCGAAGCATCAGACTTATCTTCTCTTCTTTCTGTCTATGGTGCCTCCCTCAGCTCCGGATGATTCGACTGTCTTTGACTCTGGGAATTCTGCTCCACTGGATCAAGTAGTAAGAGTACTTCACTATATAGGAC